AGCATTGATTCTAAGGTGAAGTTTGACACTGATCCTCGATGGTTTTTGTGTCATCTCCATCTTCCTTATCAGCATTGATTCTAAGGTGAAGTTTGACACTGATCCTCGATGGTTTTTGTGTCATCTCCATCTTCCTTATCAGCATTGATTCTAAGGTGGAGTTTGACACTGATCCTCGATGGTTTTTGTGTCATCTCCATCTTCCTTATCAGCATTGATTCTAAGGTGGAGTTTGACACTGATCCTCGATGGTTTTTGTATCATCTCCATCTTCCTTATCAGCATTGATTCTAAGGTGGAAGTTTGACACTGATCCTCGATGGTTTTTGGTATCATCTCCATCTTCCTTATCAGCATTGGTTCTAAGGTGGAGTTTGACACTGATCATTGATGGTTTTTGTGTCATCTCCATCTTCCTTATCAGCATTGATTCTAAGGTGGAGTTTGACACTGATCCTCGATGGTTTTTGTGTCATCTCCATCTTCCTTATCAGCATTGATTCTAAGGTGAAGTTTGACACTGATCCTCGAAAGTCTGTCCTGTTTTTGCAAGCAAGCTAGAAAACCCTCTCACAACTTCCATCGCTGGGTGGTATTACAAGGATGGATTTCATTACATCAGAGAGTGGATCATATTTAAAGTTGCCCAGCTCATCTTTTATTTTTCCAATACTATACCAACACTTGTCTGCTAGCTCACTCAGATCTACACCAGTCAATGGATCACCTTGGTAGGTGAGAAATTACTGCTCAAGACAACTCATTGTACTGGCCCAAGGTGCATCCCTTGCAATGAATAGCTTGAATTTTCCAACAAAGTACTCTACGATTTCCAAAAAACATCTTTTTCTGACAGATATGTCTGTTACTTCTGCATGTTTCAAAGATGTGTCCTGAAGTGGGAACTTGGCCTTCATATATTCCAATGCAATTTCATAGTAATTTCTTACATCTTCACAGAAAGAGAGCTGGTTTCCTTCATCATGCTTTGAAGAAGGTAACATGAGCATTCTCTAATGACCATTTCAGAGTTAAGTTTCAGAAGATAACCTGTAACTCTTGTCAACAGCTAATGATACACAATATTCCTACTTTAAGGACTTTGAGGTTAATTCTTCTTAAAGGAGTCCTGCAATATTCTCACCAGTTAATTTTCCAATTAAATTTGGATTAAAAAGTAATGAATTTATTACCTTTTCCTTGTTGTCATCGAAATATGTCATTACAATAGGGGTACAGTTTACTGTCAATGTCGTTACTGCCATCAGCGGACAAGTTGAAAGCCCTAGTTTTAACTTTACTCGAAATTCCCTCAGTTGCATTGCTGGCCATTTATCCAACTATTGCAAAGGTTTTGGGGAGTATTTGTTTCTTTTAGCAAATTCTGAATCCAGAAATATTTATGGTAAACATTTTTGAAGCATAGTCTGAAACTGCCAAAGGAAAATTGTGTTACACAATGAAGGAAGTTTTTCCGACTTGGTAGTGGGTTTTATTAAAAGTCCAGTTTATTAATTCCAGACACCCTCGAACAATTTTACTGGTGTTTAGTAGTGTTGAGATGTTTTTTACATCATTTTAACCTAAATCAGCAATGGAGAAATCTTAAACAAATATTGTACATGTTGTATAATTCATGCCCTTTGAAGATGATACAATTTCTGTATACTCATGCCTAAACTTCTGCTTGCTATAAACTTTTCTTTTCTTTGTTCGAGTCATTAGGGATGAAGCAGAACCACATTTATCTCTCAAAAAATTATCAGTACACCCTAGACGTTTACTACTTAATGCTTTTTAATGGATTTTTGTCAAGCTTTTTTAAGATTGAGATGCAAAGTGGAGCGCTGTAAATTATTTCTGGGAAAATATTAGTAGAAAAAATTCTGGAATTTCTCATAAAATAACACAACTATTCACAAAAAAAATCAAAACACTTATATTTAAGTCGTAACAGTCTGTATTAATGTTATCCAGTAATTATACTACTTTACAACTATGGGCCCACCTTACAAAGTTTCAGCATTTGTACATGGATGTGGTGACACCCCCTGGTTATTAGCAGAAAGCAAAGAGTCCATAAGATAATAAATATATATATACTTTACAGATTCTGGTGATCCTGTAGTCATGCCTCTCTGATGAAGGAGAGTTCTCATTCCACAATCTTGACCAGACAAAAGACTATTTCACTATTGGGATAAAGTCAACTTGAGCTTCTGTTTAAATAACCTATTCCCTGGCTTGCACTGAACAGGGTCTAACTCTAGCTTTGATCTAAACCCCCCCATCCAAGCCCACATCTCAAGAAAAGGTAATCTCAGTTTAGATTTGATAAGTCAGCTTAAAGACACAATCCCAATTAAGAAATTAAGAGGAACAATTCCAGTCCAAACCCAATGAAGAATTCACCCCGACTAAGATTAAAGTCATCATGCCATCTGAGACTTAAATTAAGGATGTTTTAAAAATAGACCATACTAACCCACACCTTAAGAAGAGAGCATTTCAGTTTACACCAACAGTCCACTCCCAGACTCCAACTCCTTTCTGAGAGAATTTGTCCTAGTCTTGACCTAGAGGAGTTTAGATAAAGAATCTACTTTCAGACTTAACCTAAAGATACCATCGCACTCCAGATCTGGCGAATTTATCACAACCTTGTCTTGGGGGAGTTCATACCTTCAATTACAGAAAAGTTCATCCCTAATCCCTAAACTTGATTCATACGAAAGTTCACCTCAGACCAGGCCGATAAAGGAGTTCATCATAGGTTTGCAGAAAATATCCATACCAGTCTTAAAGTCCACTTCCAGTGTTGACTTAGTTAAGAGTTCAAATCCAATGCAGAACTCCATCCCAACAATTAACTAAACAATGGTTCACTTCAGTTATGGTCAACTTATGAGTGAGACTCCTAGCACTAACATAGAGCAGAAATCCATTTCAACAATGATCTAAACAATGATTCAGATAAGCAACCATTACAATTGACCTTCAGAAAAGCATACTTGTAACACTTCCAAAGAAGAATAAATTTCAACACTATTCTTGATATACAGGAGAGCTCACCTCCTGCCTTGATCTAGAAGTGTCCAATCCTGACCCTTAATGCAGAGGAGGATCTACCCAGACTTACCAAAGAATATATTTGTCCCCAGTTTAAGCAGAAGAAAATCAACACGCTGCTTTGTTCAGAAATTGCAGTACCTACCTAGCCTTGGTCCAGAAGAAGAAGAAAATTTATTCCATCACTAACCTAAAGGTTAGCATATCCCAGCTTTAACTTCTATAAACATCTCTGTTCCCTTACCTAGATAATGCAGTAGCTTTCAGGAAAATATAATCATACTTATTGGCCGATATCAAATCAACACTCCTATAACATAATTATTCATTCTCATTCAGTCAAAGAATGATTTAACTCAGGTTTGTCTGCTTTACGTTACAATGATCTAGTTAAAATCAACTTACATCATTATATTCTGCAATGATCAGGACATCATCATTAGCAGCAGCAATTCCTTTAGGTTGAGAGTCAGTCTTTACTTCAAGCGAACTAAAATGTAAAATATTAAATCTAATGGAAAGACTATTCATCGTTCATATAGTCTGTAATTAAGATTGATGAATAATTTTTTCTTCTCAGTAAATCAACATACAAGTCAATTCCAAATGGTATTTTCTGAATTATTTTAAAAGTAAGACATGCAAGTCTATAAAGGTCAACATTACATACATATTTTTATAATTGCAGCGTATGACTGGCAAGATTAATTAGTTTTATCAGTGATTACATACAAAAACCTGAAGTGGCAGTCTACGTGTCCTGTACTTTGGACATAAAAAACTTTTCAAAATAGTGAGTACACCATTAAGACATCAATTTCTTACAGTAGCCATAATGGTGAAGTTCTGGTAGAAATAAAATTTTTTTTTTGTTATTATCTGGAGAGTAAAAGTGGCTTTTTCTAGCTTTATTGCCAAAATAACTTTAGATATATCTGTCCCTCCAATAAGAATAATTTTCTGCACTTTTCTAGTTCGAGCTAACGCACACACAAAAAGTGGCAATGCAAGTCATACTAACTAAGTCACAGTAACAATTCACACCAACTAAGTCACAGTAACTATTCACACCAACCAAGTCACAGTAACAATTCACACCAACCAAGTCACAGTAACAATTCACACCAACCAAGTCACAGTAACAATTCACACCAACCAAGTCACAGTAACAGTTCACACCAACTAAGTCACAGTAACAGTTCACACCAACTAAGTCACAGTAACAATTCACACCAACTAAGTCACAGTAACAATTCACACCAACTAAGTCACAGTAACAATTCACACCAACTAAGTCACAGTAACAATTCACACCAACTAAGTCACAGTAACAATTCACACCAACTAAGTCACAGTAACAAGTCACACCAACTAAGTCACAGTAACAATTCACACCAACTAAGTCACAGTAACAAGTCACACCAACTAAGTCACAGTAACAAGTCACACCAACTAAGTCACAGTAAGGTGAATATTTTTTGCCACACTTCCAATAAGAAATACTCTTGTCAGAATGATACTTACTTATATCGATTTGTTATAGCATCAATAGCACGAACTGTATCATCAACTCCACAAGTATAGATAACATCAGTTCCTGTTGTCATATCTTGAACCTGGTTAGTGTGCCCTGGACCTTCAACTCGATCATGATCTCCACTTGAAATGTCCCAGAATGGTGCACCATGAGTCAAAGAATAACCAGAAAAAGCTCATGAACACCCATAATGCAAAGTTTGTCACAACATCCTAATCCCCACATGCTTCAACTACACAGCAATTAAGTGTAATTTCCTTTAATTTATGAATAAAACCAGACAATAAGTTACAAATTCATATATAGAAACAACAGTACTCTCTGTGAGACACAACCAAGTCCATTGGATACTTCATTGTGTTTTTTTTTCTATATAAAAATAGGAAAAACAAAACTGTGCATTAAAAAGAAATTTTTCAAGAACTTCCTGTATTTACCTAGAGTTCACATTTACTCAAATGGAATCAGTCAAATCTTGGTGTTTGGAGTTGTATATAAAATTGCATTATTTTATATTTCTTTTTAGACTTAATTCATGCTTGACATCGGCAAGTTATGTTATCTTTGGTGGCTACACAGTTCACCATCTTCAAAGTAAATTATAACAGTTTTGTTATGTACTGAAAAAACTTTCATCACATATCATTTCTAACTTATTCAGGGGTAGTGTTTGACAAGAATACAAATCTTTGTTACCAGCTTTCTATTATTATTTGTTCTTTAAAGATATATTTCAGTACTTCTGATAGCAGCTTGGTGTGTTTCAGAGCCTAGGAAGTTTCGGTGGTTTTTGTTTATATATGTGCTGCTTTCATGTTAATAAAATATTAATCATATTATACGTAGAAATCGGGATTCTTGAGAGTTCACATATTTTAAATCCTGCTGCAATTGGAGATTTACAAAACAAATGAAATCTCTCTAAAATACACAAAAGCTTCACAAAACTTAGTTTGTGATTCTCCCTTGTTTTTTAATCCTTGCACAAAAAGTATAAACAAAATAATCTAATT